TCTCTGGAGTTGGCTAGAAGCAAAAGGGCATATCTTGTCACCACTTGCATTTCAATATATATTTAGCCCAGGAGATGGTTCCATCTCTTAGTTTTAGTGAGCTATTTTCAGTGGACAACAGATGACTCATGCCTTGCAGAACATTAGATAGAGAGTATTTCTCTTATCATATGTGCTGTACTTAGTTTCAGCTGGAGTCAGTTTTCGGGAGAAAAAAGCTAGTGGTTGAAGGCCATTATCACGTTGCAAGTGCAAAATGACTCCAATAGCCTCATCTGAGGGGTCGACCATCAATGACAATTGCTGACCAGGGGCATGGGAACCAAGTATCACTGTTGTTTTCATTGTCCAAGGAACGGGGAGTTTATCATTCTTCGTAGAATTTTTTAAAAAAGAATGAGTAGAGTTTGGGTAGTAGCTGCTTTAGACAAAAATCATCAATAAAAATTCCAACATTGCCAAAAACCTCTTTAATGTAGACATTATTACAAGTTTAGGGAAGTTAACAATTGATGCAATTTTTTTCAAGAAGTAAACACTTGAAGAGGTAGTATAAAATTATACTGCTGCCCAACCGGTATAGTGATTAGCGTTACTGACTGCCATGCCGAAGGACCTGGCTTCGAATCCCGGAGAAGGCATTGATGTTTTGTAAATTTATAGGGTTGGTGTGGCATGCCAGCATTCTAAATATGGGGTGAGCCAAAAGTCCTCTCGTGTGGCTTGGTGGAAGGTTAGAGGGGTGGGAGACCCTTGGACCCGTCCTCCCGGGGGTGCTCTCCATCAGAATTGGGGGCAGAACTGAGCTAAATCGCCCTGTCACCTGAATTGTGCACAAGGCTGTTGCCAACGGCATGTGTATTCTAGCACTCCTTGACATGTGGAATTTTGTGGGCTTGGGCTGACTATGTTAGACAATGGAGCATAAGCAACAACAACAACATAAATGATACAGATGACTTCCCAAGAGTACATAAGAAGGATTCAGTTGTAACAATTTTTGCAGTCTAACAAATCAAACAGAGGTAACTCTCATGCTTGTCTTCATTTACTGCAAATCATCAAAGTGAGGAACAGCCAGAAATCTAAGCCAGAAAGTACTTGAATAAATCTTTGAAATGTTTGGCCTGTGTTTTGCAAACCAAATGGGGTTTCAAGGAACTAAAATAATCCAAATAGGGTAATCACAACTGATTTAGACACATCCTCTGGGTTAACAGGGATTTGATGGGCATAGCCAAATCAAGTGTTGAAATAAAAAAAATTTCCCCAAAAAGATAAATCTTTGTATATGCAGTACAGGATACCGGGCTGGAATAGTTACAGCACTCAAGTGGCGATAGTCACTGCAATCGTGCCAGTCGCCGTTAGCCATATGGACCATGTGAAGAGGCCTGACCCAAGCTCTTATTGATGGCCGAATGTTTCCCTGTGACATGAGGTACTCAAACTCTTTTTGTGTCACCTTGAGTAAATTCAGTGACAAATGACGAGGTTTAGAAAACATGGGGAAGTGGCAATACTCAATGCAAGGGTGCCAGTCACCATTAGCCATATGGACCGGACCACGTGAAGAGGGCTGACCCAAGCACCTTTGGACTGTCGAATGATTCCCTGTGACATGAGGTACTCAAAATCCTGTTTTGCTGCGTCAAGTAAATTTGGTAATCAACAACAAGGTTTAGAAAACATGAGGAGGGTGGAACTTTAATCGCAATATAATGGAAAATTGTTGATGTTTGATTATTGTTGGTTACATAAAAAGGAATATTGAGTTCAGGATATTCAGCAAGTAATTTATCAAATTAAAAGTCACCAAGAATGCCTCAATCAAGCAAACCAACTCTTAAACAGTTTGCCACGCAATAACAAACCAGTCCCAGAATCAATAAGGCAATGTCAACAAGTAATCCAGATTTCTTAAAGAAATCATCACCCAAAATTGGCTGATTTACATCCGCAACGAGAAATAACCAAGTAAAGGTGTGATGCAAGTTTAAATCCAAAGGAAGAGTTTTAGTGCCAAACAGGAGAATCTTAGTTCCAGTCATGAGAACAAAACCAATCCTGAGAAGGCTTGGAACAAAGAGAAAACTTTTTTGGCAATACCGACACATCCACCCCAGTATAAATTAAATAGTTTGATTTTTGACAAGGGGTCAGCCAAAATGTATACAGTTCACCTGCCGACCGCCAACTTGGCCAGCAAGCAATTTGACATTTCCCGTTTTACGAAAAGAACGTGGGGACTGACATTTCCTTGCGTGCTCGCCAAAATTAACATGATAGAAACAAAGGTCGTCTGTTTGTTTCTTATAGCGATTAGTGTGTTCATGTGACCTACTGTGCCAGTATAAATGTTGAAAATTGCACTTAGGACTGCAAGAATTACGTCGCAAGACAGAGTTTAACTCACCAACTTGCACTGTCAGTTGTGCTACCTGAAGTTCCATATTTCACTTAAAAGTTTTAGTGAAAGATAATATATCAGTATTGTTCCTTCCTCAAAATTGTATGTCCATCATTCAGCCTATGTGTATCAGAATAGTGTGTTTGAAATGCAAATGTAGCATTTTTAAAATACATGTTAAATATCGTGAACAATGGCAAGACTATTTGAGAATTTTGGAGTATTTTAGCATAAAATCTGCCGTGTGAAGCTTCAAAAATTGTTGGAGGAAGTGTCTCCAGATACTTCTAAAAATGCTTGGCATAATTTATGGCCAGCTACCATTTTTCATGGTGAGGATAAGGAAGATGATAACTGCGAATTTGAAGGTTTTTGGATATCAAAACCAAATTAATTTTCCAATTAATAGAGTTTGTAAAGAAATGTGGAGAAACAGTAATAAATGAAGATGATACAGTACAAAGTCTTTAATGCGGACTCGTCGGGACTTTGGCGATTCCATATTAGGGGTTTTTCTGGATTATAGATCATCAATTTAAATCTGCTAAGATGGCATGCAGAAATTATAAAATTAAAAATATGAAACCGTAATTTATGAAATAAAGAGCATTTACGATATAAAGAGTATCAAAATTTACCAAAAAAAAAAAAACTTAATACAGTCAAAAGTCTTTAATCCGGACTCGTCGGGACTTCGGCGATTCCGGATTATAGTAGATCTGTTTAAATGTGGTAAGATGGCATGCACAAATTATAAAATTAAAATTATGAAACCGTAATTTATGAAATAAAGAACAATTATGAGCTAAAGAGTATCAAAATTTTACAAAAAAAAAAAAAAAAAAAAAAAAAACTTAATATTTATTTGTTTACTTTATTAAACATTTCTTTCAACATGAGCATGTGTAAAGCATACATTACGCATAGCCGAAATTAGAAAATTGCAAGCAGAAAACTATTTGATGTGTATTCGTGATATTTATAATGACGAGGAATTTCATTTAAATCATATCAAAGACAGAGTACATTGAGATGAAATACTACATTTAGTAAAGAATTATAAGCCGAATAAAATATAAACATCTGCCCGGAAGATAAGGATAGTGCTGACCAATCAACTTCCAGTTCATTGCGCGCCACGATGCCCCCCCTCCCGCAGCGCAGCGTGACATTGATAAACAGATTTCGGAATTGTTAGAGAAACAAAGGATACGCCTTTATCCATTTTTTGCAGCAATTCCACTTTTTGTTTGATGGACATCGAAACATGCTTTCGCTTTTTAGATCCTTTGGCAGCTCCAGAATCGGAAATTCTTTTTGGCATAATCGAAAGTTCAAGCTTACTTTTATAAAATTGCTCTAACAGTCTGCAAAAAATAATAAGCCGGATCCAATTCGAAGATTAAGGACCAACACAATCTTCAACATTAACTAAAATAGATAATTAGATAATTTTAGCTTAGCTTATACCATCCGTTATACATTAAATGTGCTTGCGTAAACTTATTATGTGCAATTAGAGGACTTGAATAGTGGACCTTTGTAACTGAACAAGAAATTATGTCTGTCTGTCGAATTAAAGAGAAAGTGTTAGCACAAAAAACGAAGCAACGTATATTGAAAGTGTTTAATAAAGTAAGCAAATATATATTAAGCCTCTTTTTTTTTTTTTTTTTTTTTTTTTTTTTTTTTTGTAAATTTTGATACCCTTTAAAACATATGTGCTTTATTATTTCAAACAGCATGATTTTATATATTTATTTTTATAATTTCTACATGCCATTTTACTAGATTTAAATTGATGATCTAATATACGGAAAAATCCGGAATCTCTCAAGTTCCCACGAATCTGGATCTCGCACTATCTATATTGAATTTTGAGATGAGCTTTAAAGGCTAAAGAAAAGGTAGAATGTCTAATTTAGGGAAAGGAATAATCAGTATAATCTAGCTTATAATATTTCATGAAGCATAATGCAGCATAATTGTACCCTATTAACATGTAAAATATGACTCTAGTGATTACAGTTATGCATGGGTAGCTTGCTTATTGTGCATTGAGGAAATTAAAAGCACTCAACATGACAGAATTTTTAAACATTTAATGTAAATTTTCATTGGATGCAACTAAAAAAGTGAAAGAAATAACCTTGAGAAATGAATGATTATTTCTTAAAACTTCGATGAACGAAATAAAAGTCCATTTGTTGCCGTTAAACTTTTCTGCCAGATCTTCTATTAAAGATTTGAAGTGTGATTTACTTAAATTTATTAGAGAAGGTATATGGTTGTGAATTAGTGAAAGTATTCTGGTACTATTCAAAAAGCTCTCCTTTCCAAATTACAAGAAAATGATATATCAGAAGTTGTGAGATATAATTTAAATGTACAATAATTTAGCCAAAAATTTATTCTGTTGAACTTGGCACAAAAAATTGCTGTTTTTTATTGTTACTGTGGTGATGAAATATGTAATTAAGTTGTAAACTTATTTTTCTTGTACGTTTGAAATCTGAATTGCTTACAAAGTTTAGTAAAAAAAATCTTTTTTTTTTTTTTTTTTTTTTTTTTTTTTTTTTTTTTTATAAAGTTACTTGATGCGTGTGTAAAGAACTGTGGCCGAAGTTTTCACCTTGAAGTTTGTTCCAGAGATTTCGAAGCTGAAATTAAAAAGCTTCTGCATAAAGTAAGATGTATTTCCAGTTTAAATATCTGCTGTTTATGACTAAAACTGAACTGTGAAACCTCTAATATAAAAATGTACAGTATTCCCTTGTTATAATACTGCTTGATATACCATCCTTTCATTTATTACATGTATGCTGAATAAAAGTCCCTGTGCACACATGTAGACCTAGCAACTAAATAACTGTTCGTTAAAACATCATTCTTTATGAAGAATGTGATCTCGAAAATTTTGCCTTCAGGTAAATCAGAATTAACTGTAAACAGTTAGATTTTATGAGAAAAAAATAAAAAAAACCAGGGTTCACTAAAAGTATTAGTTTTTTTTTAATTTTTTTTAAAACTTTTTTTTAAGAGGATGTTTATATAAAAGGAACATGATATGATTTTATTTCATCTATACTTACATACATATGACCAATGTATCATTTTGTTTTGTGCCCTCGATGTTACTCCCTGCATAGTTTGGTGTCTAAAATTTTTAAAAAAAACAATTTCTGTAGTTGGATATTAATATTTATGCATCTGAATTTTTGTTGTTTCTCGAGTTTTTTTTTTTTTTTTTTTTTTTTTTTTTTTTTTTTCAGTATCTAATTTACTTTGACAATACCTTAGGCTTCAGTTTAGTCCCTTCCTTTTATTATAGCAAGGGTATACTGTATTAAATGTAATGTGCTTATTCTATACTAATTTTTTCCTCTTTTCTAGGGTCATCCAAGAGTTATTGAAAAATTGAAGGGTTTGTTAAAAAAGTGGAGTGAGGAAGACTTTAAAAACGATTCTCAGTTAAGGTTTCATGATGAATTTTGAAATACTTCCCTTTTTAAACTTGCTTTGATACTCATAGTTTTAATCAGTATTAAATTGTCAGTTGAAAAGTTTAAAAAATCAGGAATTGGTAGCAAATCAGTCTTCATATTTTCAATGATGAAATACATAAAATGGAGTTCGGGCTGTTTTGATGATTAAGACTTGTGCCAGTGAAGCTAGATGGTTTTTTAATTAAACACTGGTCTTAAAATATAAAAGTAGTGTTTATATGTTCTGTTAAAAATCTCAGCACATCAGGACCAGACAAGAAACGAAATTTCAGCACAGTGAAGTTGTTAAAATGCAGATATCTTCAATATTTTAAAAGGAAAAAATATATATATTTGCAGATATATAATTTCATCTTTGTCATTGAAAAACATCTCTGAGAGACCAGTAATGTGTTAGGCCAGCAGTTTGTATTGCAATCATACCTAGTATTTCTATATATACAATATTTTTTTCCTTGTAATACATTATTGTTTTCCTTGCAAATTTTGAAATTGCGTCATCAGAATAAGTGTTTTTAGTTATGTTATTTTCTGTTGACAAATGACCAGGCTAGAAAATCATGCTTGGCTGATTTTGTACCCAAGGTAATTAATTCTTAATTAATCCGAGTTTCAGAAAACTTCTGTTGTGTGATGATGAACACTAAGTGAGGTTGGGAGCGGAGTCAGGTTCATATTCAGTCACAAATTCTAAGAATCTTCAGAAAGTCCTGAAGATTCTTAGAATAGACTGTTCGGACAAACCAATTTGATACACATTCCATGGTTTTATAACATGTGTCGATTTCCTGTTGAAACCTGTCAATTCACTATAACATTGACCTTTTCAGTTCTTGTCGCAAAGTCAACGACTTGTCTGCAGCCTTCTATTTGGGCATCATTTTCTTCCTGACAGTTGACATTTGGTTTCACATGTGTCCTTTGTAAATTGCAGTGCTTTTTGAAAAAGGCTTTTTTTTTTTTTTTTTTTTTTTTTTTTTTTTTTTAAATTTCAAAAGAACCTTTAGACTTCTCACCTTGATAATACACATCTAAACTGATTTCAAGAATCTGTAAATTTTTACGCATTTTTGTCTTTTTCTAAGATACTATTACATAAGCACAGAAACAAAAAATTCCTTCAGAGTTCAATGTCATGGACAATTTAGCTTCATGGTCATGCATCTGAAAAATGAAAAAAGGTCCATATATATTCGCCCTGTACATTAACTAAATCAATACTTCTAAAACCTATTAATTATAAATATCTGGGCCATTTGTAATAAGTTGATGTTTAGTTTTAAAAACTTTATGAATTATAGTGATTGTCAGAAGCTTCTTCCAAGTTGTAGGAAAATGTTATCACATCCCAATTATTAAAAATATGTCTTTATTTGCAAACAGTCAGCCAGGATCGTATTCAGGGTAGTCTTTAATTATCTGTTTTTAGAAATAAGCTCTTCCCCATTTTGTTTTTTAAAGAAATACAATTGTAGAAGCATCTTTATTTGTAAACCATTCGAAAATCAACATAAAAATGCAGTTTTAGTGACAAACTATTTGTTTCTTTTTCTTAATTCTTCAGTTTTCTTGCCTGTACTGTAACTTTTTATTTTGTTATATATGATGGAAATTGTTTTGCAGAATTTTAACCGACTAAAATGCTGGACCTAAATGAATATGATACTATATTAGATTCTAAAAAATATGTTTCCTTTTTTATAAATAGTTAAAAAGTGCTAATCAAACACCAATATCTGGTAGATTAGGAAGTCATCTTGTAATTAATACCATGAGAGTTTTTGTTCAGGACTGCAAATAATATTAAGAATTTAGAAAAAAGTGCAGAAATATAAGCAAAATGCCATTTACCAGTTGACTGATTGGACTGTTGGTCAACTGACCAGTGACCAAAAGTTCCTCATCGATATCTTTTTTACCACTCTGGACAAAAAATATCAACCTAAAATCACTGTCTCAGGTTATGTGTGACAATACTTTTTGTTCACACGCTATTTTATCAATAAATTTGTTCCTCATGCACAAGTGCAGTGGCTTGTTCATAATCATTAATCTTATTCATGATCATCAATCTGTCATAATTCATTCCTGTAGTACAAAAATGATAGATGCTGTTAAAGTCACCAATTGAAGATTTTTTTATTAATCTAAGTTGCGAAAGGTAACAGCCATTTTAAAAAATGGTGGCACATTAAGAATTGCATAAAACAACAACTAATTAACAAAATTAAAAATGCATCCATAATAAAACGCTTTTTTTCTGCTCTTCTAACCCATGTACATAGCTATCTGTTTTAGCTTCAAAAGACATAAGAGAATTGCAGAAACTTGGCATTGTGCATGCTGTTCTTTTCTTATGTAGACAGCTACCTGATTTTTGCTTAAAAACAATAAGAAAATTGCATAAATTGGGCTTTGTATGTGCTGTTGTGTTTCCCTATGTATGCAGCAATCTGTTTTCTCTTTGAAAAAACAGAATTCACTGATTGCGGTATCAGCATACAAACTCGATCAACACAGAGTACAACCATGTGAATTTTGTCTTCTCCACTATTAGGTAAAATTCTATATTTCTGAATAAATGCAACATTTTCAGTGGCTAGCAAACTCCATACTCACTTTTATGGTTCCTTACAAAAAAAAAAAAAAAAAAAAAAAAATGCACACTCTTCAAACACTAACCAGAAATATTGCTGCCAAATTTGAAAAGCCAGAATTCACACTTGTGCATTGTGTGCACACAAGCACAACTCAGCTGCCTGATAATTGCCTTTTTGTGGCATACGTGCATTGCCTCATAAATACCTTTTGTGATGTTAAGGGTTGCTTATCTTGGCAACATAGTAAGTTGCATAGTGAAATCTTTTTAGGGGTGAGCATGGATATTAAGAAAGCATTAAGAATTCTTAATATGACAAAATTATTGACTACCATATGAGGTGTTTGCATGAATAATTTTTTTAAACCAGAAAGATCATTCCATAAAATACCTATTTAATTACTTGAGGAAAAGAAAAGGGTACTGTACTATGTGGCACCTGAAACATAAAGCTGTAGACTCTTTTTGGCAATTTGGTTCTGTTAAAATCAGTAGTTGCTATCTGATGCAACTTAAAGCCTTCTTATGGGACATGTTGGGTCCTCAATTGTGTATGTCCAGAATATGTTAATTAGATATATACATCATTTTATTGCTTGTCAAACCTGTGCATCATGTAGGTAGTTTAAAAAATGAGACATGACTAAAGGAAAATTCATCTCAGTTTCTAACTATCCACTTGCCTCCTAGGTCCCTAAAATTTAAGGGCTGTTGAAACTGTGGTAAGTGCCCCTTTTGTGAAATATCAGTAAGTTTAGGGATAGTAATGTTTAGGGAAAATTTTGTTACTTGTACGGCTTTCCTGTTATTCAGCTGCCCTTGAAGGATATGTATAAGTGAATGCTTAGGAATATGCCAGCTGTGCCATGCTGAAAATATAGATAATGTTATAAACTGAATTGATTACAGTAGCATATATTAACCCTCTGAGGCGCAGAGGTCACGCCCTGAAACCACCGATTTTCGAATTTTTTTCTCCTCTTCTTTCCGAAATTTTTGAGTGAAAATCAATTGATTACTGATCTTTTACCTCTAAATAACACAAAATGACTGCAGATTCATTCATGTTTTAGGTCTTAGTACTTCAAATCGGATGTCTTTTAAAGTTCATTTGCAATGAGACAAAATAACTTCCTTTTATTAATATAAACAACTTTAAATTTCAAAATTTATTCATCGCACATCATGATTTCTATCATAAACAATAAAAAATAGCAATAATTAAACTGCATATATAAAAAACCCTCTATATGTATAGCATTTGCTTTGTGGTTTCAGGGTACGACCACTGTGCCACTAGGCCATTGTGTCACAATGCTCGGTGGTCGCGCCTAAAAACCACTGCTCTTCACAATGGCGTTTGCTCACTTCTCAAATAGGAATGTTTTTTTTTTTTTTACCTGGATATAGATAAGGGGTTTGAAACCATAGAGTTATTTTATTACTAAACAATACATGCACCTGCCCAGTAAAAAGGTCTTTCTTTTCCAGAGACTTTTCTTTGACCTCAACACTTGCTCCTCAAGCTAGTATTGTGATTTTATAAATTATTTCCTGTGGTTTAAATTTAATGTAAATATACTTTGCTATAATTAAAAATATTTTCTGAATATTTTGGGATGAAATACAAATAAGTATGAATGGGAAACAAACGATCCGTACCAAAGCCAAAAAAAAACCAAGCCTCCTCCCCATTAACATAAAAAAACCACAAATTTCATGTGCCAGATCAAAGAAGCTAAATAACTCTGGACATATACCAGTGAAATTTAGATCCAGGCAGTGTGCATTTTGTAGAACAAAGAAGAAACCTCCTAGAAGAGACATGTGCGAAACATGCAATGTGGTTCTATGCATGCACCAAAAAGACAAAACATGCTTTGAACAGCGTCGCAAAAAAAATTTGTTCTTTGAAATTTAAAAAAAAAAAGTCTTTCTTATCCTTATTTTACTGAGTTTTTTTTATCCATTTAGCCAAACGTCCCTGTTATGTAGGTACATATATTTTCACTGCTATAGAAAAATAACATAAATGTTTGTTTAATATTTTCTGACAATTTACTTTGTAAAATAATGTAAAAAAATTATGTATAATGCAATTCTTGCATAAATTTTTTTAATTCATAAATTTCGTCATTTATTGGAAACAAAGCATGGAGAAAGGTGTTTTTTTTTTTTTTTTTTTTTTTTTTTTTCCTTACTACCTCAGTAAGTTTCAAAGTCCTAGATGTGCGGTGGTTTCACAGTGCAACCACCACCCACAGAACAATGGGCGAGAGTAGATTTTTTAAATTTATATATTATTTGTCTCAAGGATCATAATATTCAATTTCTAGAGTTTTTAGTTTAAAATATTATAAAAATAATATCGCACACATCGAAGGCTTAAAAAGTCTGTTTATTGTTTATTGGGTATAATCATATTTTGTTTTGTTACAAATATTTTTATAATTTTACTAGATTGAAAATTTTTAAGATCAATAAATATGCATTTCTAACTTCATTTAAATGAAGTATAGTAGTACATAATTAGTTCTATTATTTTAAAAAATATAGTTTCCGCTTTCGAAAAATTTTTACATCTATGAAATTCTAAATCTATGAATGCATATGAATTTCACATGGTCTAATTCTCATGAAAATTTAGTTAGGTTGAATCATATTTGTTCTGTAAAAGTTACTTACCATATGTCATTTATGGTTCTATTTTATGTCATTTTCAATTGTTAATTTCTTTTCAGTTATCTTGATAATTTGTTATACTTATGTTGTTTAGCCTCATACCATCACTGTATAATAGTCTGAAGAGTGAGAGAAGTGATTTTTCATCATCTGTTACAGTGAGTATTCATATATTATTTAATAAGCATTAAGTATTTTGAGTAATGCTCTATTTTCATTAATCTTAACAATTTTGTGTAACTATCAAGTCATGATTTTTTTGGGGGGGTGTGTGTACTTGCATATTTAACTGTATTTTGCAAAACTTTAGGTTCAATCAAGCAAACCTGCAATGCAGCGACTTAAGGATACAAGTATTGTGTCAAGTAAGGAAGAAGAAGATCTTGCAAAAGGTTTCTTGCGTTTTACTTTTGCTTAATCAAAGCTCTTAAGTTTTAAATTTTATTGTCATTTTAAAGATTTTCTTTGTTAATGCATTTATGTATATGAATAAAAATGAATGTGACCTTTTTCTCTTCCAGCCATTGAGTTATCTTTGAAGGAGACTGGGTCATCACCAAAGCAGTCAGCATCATTATATCCTATAGCATCTGTATCCAGCTCTTATGCGTCACAGAAAATGACACAAAAAGAACCAAGAAAAGTGAGGGCTATGTATGATTTTGAAGCTGCAGAAGATAATGAATTAACCTTCAAGGCTGGAGAAATTGTTTTAGTACTAGATGACAGGTAATAAGTTTTATACATGAGTTTAATAAATGTGCTAACTTTTTTTTATTATTATTTCTTGTAAAAGAATTGTATTCATTATTTATGTGAAATTTTTAGTGACCCTAACTGGTGGAAAGGCTCCAATCACCGCGGAGAAGGCCTCTTCCCAGCAAATTTTGTTTCAGCTGATTTGACCACTGAACCAGAAACTGGTTAGATATATCTATTATTGATTGTGCATACAATTTGACTGCAGCAATTACTGTAAATAACTGTAAATATTTCTTAGCATTATGTTGTTCAAGATATTTTTCAGTGAAAGAATTATGTTTAATTTTTCTATTTATGTAAATTTCTTTCACTTCATTAGTAACATAAATAATGGAATTAATATATCTGAACACAGGTAGAAAGAAGGCTAGCGACTAAATTGCAAGTTTTGGAGGAAAGCAGTTTTTGTGTTGTAAATCATACATAATAGAGAAATATTTTTCTGATGGTTAATTGCTTCCTTATACAATGAACCCTCTCGGCAGAGCTCCAGTTGAAAATAGCCTGTGTTTAGGACATTTAAAGGTGACCTTCACAGAACACGAGAACTGTGTGGAACTGTAGGTGGTGTCAAGTTTTTATTATCCCTTAAAATGGCATCTGGTTATTTTTAACCTACCTTTCATAAAATAATAGTCTTTATTTTCATGCAAAAACCACATTTATTTCTTGAAAATGTAATAATGGGTAGGCCATTGGCTCATTTTTGCAGTGGTTTTTGATGTAATTGGTGGGAAAAACTCAAATTTGATTATTTTGGCCATCTTTCTACCCAAGTTATTGAATTTCAAAATGGCTATAATCGTAGTTTGTTAATTTTTTATTTATATGGAAGACACTAGTAATCAGTATTTACAATTCTACGAATCCATTAAACTGTGACAAGTAATAATTTTTATGTGGGGAGTTAATAAAAATGCTAACAGAGTTTTTGAATGACGGGTAATAATTTTTGTTTGAAATGTATTTAAGAGTAGTTTATACTTTATTGTAGTATTGTTATTGTTTTAGAAGAAGATAGGTAACTCCTTAATTATAAATGAAGGCATTTAATGCGTCCTTAAAAAATGTTTTATTTGTTCTTGATAATAAAAAAAAAAATTAAATACTAATCTTGCTGGAATTCTTAAGTCTTTAGATTTATTAAACTAGAAAATTGGTTCGAAAAACAGTTTTAATGTTTCTGTTGTAACTTTGTACTGTGTTAGTTGTACAAGAAATGGAAATTTGGGTATAATGTCAAATGCTATCTTTAAGCAGTTTTGCTTTTTCATATCTGAAAGCCTTGTGTTTTTTTAGAAACGTATTTATAGGCACTAGTGTTAATGTATTCATTCTCTCATATCTTCTGTTTACTCCCTACTTTCAGTCAAAGCACTTGAAAAGAAAACTGTTCAGTTTAATGAAGAAGTTAGAGTTAAGACTGTGGAAGAAGATCAAGAAGTTGAGATTGATGAGGTAGAAATGATGTATGATATTCGTAGCATTGAATTTATACTTCAATAATTGTGTATTGATTAAATGAAATTATTTCAGGACAAAATTGACCAAATGTTGCATTTATTACATGAAGCTGACCCTACTGGTGAACGGCCAGATTCTGAGGAATTACTTGCCTTAGAAGGTTTGAAATTTTTGTTGATTTTTGATTAAAACTCATATTAGGTTCCTTCAGTGGTATGTTATCTTTTTTTCCCCACTCTTTTCCACAGAACACTGCTTAGCAATGGGTCCTCTTATTGATCAAGAACTTGAACAAATAGACCGTCGGCATGCATCTCTTACTACAGCAAATCAGCTTCTAGTGGAAGCACTGCATTCTTACCAAACACTTATGAAAGATTACTCCTCTTTACCATATAGCTCTTATCCAGTACAAGATGTCATGCACAGATATGTACCCTCGCAAGTTCCTCAACAGGTATTCTTAAATTTTATCATATTGATGTAGTTCAAATTCTGGCATACTTTATCAGAAGAGAATCCTGATGCAGTAGAAACAAATCTGAAAACTTTATATTAAGTTAAACTAGTATTAACTTAAAAATACACCAAAAAAATTTATATATTATTTTATAAGTAATATATTAGATAATCCTACAGTGTTTAAACTGTTTTACAGAAGTAAGTAGGGCTTGTAGAAGCAAACCTTACATATATGAATTTGAAATGCTGAAGATTTTCTCTGGGATTAGTAATTAAGTAGACCAAATGCCATTTCTTGATGTAAGATAAGTAAACATATTTTATTGGGTATTTTGAATGTTAAGCTGTTGAGTGTAAGATACTGTAGTTTTATGAGCATATTAAGGTGATGGGGAAAACATGTCTTGTATTTAGGGCCATATGATACACATGTATGGGTGGATTTTATGTCAATAAATGTAGAACAGATATAATAATCTGTGAGTAGCAACTATTTTTATGAAAAATACAGTAAATGATCAGGATATGTGATAGCTAATCCATCAATGTTAAATTAAGCATGTTTCATTGTAGATTTGGTGGCAAAGTTCACCTTTAACCTTAGTTAGTGAAGCTTACGTATAGTTTTACTTTATGTAAGAGCAAGCACGGGATAAAGGTTTCTTCATGAGGTAACTGCACTACTCAATTATGAGCCTTTTTTTCACTCAAGCTAATGTTTACTGTGCTTTTCGGCAAATTCATATTTTATCGTCAAATCCAATTGAGTAAATAAATTTAACTGGTAGGCCTGATGAATAGAAATACATATGAATGAAGACTTGATTTACTTTTTCATAAGAGGATTAGGCATATTAATATTGATTTTGAGGCAAAGTCTCCAAGGTTATGCAGGGTTAGATTGAGATGTAGATTCTTTAAAATTAATGTACGTGCATCAGTTGAAGATAAAGGCTGAGGATGAGAAGGATCCTTTTTATGAAAAAGTCCACACACTGTATTCTGCCAGCCCAAAACATGGTATCAAGATTGTGCTGGGAGAGCAGATGCCAATATATGGAAGGAAAATAGGTTCAGACATGATTACCTTAACAAACCTCACAATTCAAATGATAATGGCCAGAGACTTTTTTTTCTCTATGGAACATGATGTGGGGGTGGTCAGTTCTTGCTTTCTATATAATAGTATTCGCAAAAGAGATCTCTGGGTGTTGGCACTTTATATCATATTGACCATATCTTGACGCCAGACATGCCTCAGACATACTGGATGTCAGATCATATCTAAAGCGAATTTTGACTCGGAACCACTACTTGGTAATGATGTAAATCAGTGCAAGAATATGCAGTGCCCGTAAAAATCGGGGTGAAATTGGATAAATTTAACTGCCTACTGTTAAAAGAGAAAGATTTAAAGCAGAGCTACCAGCCTGAATTAAAAACTCAATAAAAAAATTCAAATTGGAGTGTATAGATGAAAAATTGAATCTGTTAAAAAAATGACTGTTATTGAAACTGGCAACAAAGTCTTAGGAGAAGTAAGAAAGGGAATGAGTGATGACTGGTTGAATCAGGAATGTAGGACTTCCTCTAACCTTAAAAATATAGCATATGAGAAGATGCTTCAAAGAAAGCATACAAGATTAACTGTTGATGAATATAAATCTGCAATAAAAAGGAGGGGACAAAAGATCCACCATGGTAAAAAGAGGAACTTCCATGAAAATCTTCTAAGTGTTGTTGAACATCTTAGAGGAGTAGGGGAAAGCAAAGCTTTCTTTTGTGAATTCAGTCACAGATGAAGAAGTTTTAAACCTAGAGAAACACTTTTTAGAGGAGAAAACAGTTCTATCTTAAGTGATAACAGTGACATTCTACAGAGATGAAGGAGCACCTGGATAAGCTATTGAATTTTAAATTGTAAACAGAGAAGAGTGAAAGAACAAGCAGAAACCTAGAGCCTATTGATCCCCCTTCTCTGGAACAGGTGAATCATGCTTTAAAGGGAAAAAATATATATATATATATATATCTCCAGGGCCAAACGGTATTTCTTCAGAACTATTAAAAGCTGTGGGACCTAGTTCCATTCTATTAAACAAAGACTTAATTCAGCTCATCTGGTATTATGAGACACTCCCAATGAAATGGAAGTTTAGTACCATCTGTTTGATTCGCAAAAAGGGAAATGTGCTTGTTTGCAATATTTATAGAGAAATTAGTCTTCTGTCCTATAAAATACTCTCAACTATTCTTTTTAACAGACTTTTACCTTATGTTGATAACGAGATCGCCGATTATCAGTGTTGCTTTAGGAGGGAAGACTGACTATTGAGTAGATTTTCAACCTAGGGTACATTTTTGGAAAAATGGAGAGAATTTGGGATTGAAACACATAATCTTTTTATCTGTTTAGAACTGTGTATTTTTGCCATTAATAGGGAATTACTCATTGAGGCCGTGCATGAATTAAGTATTCCAGAAAAACTTGTTGCACTGGTTGCACTGGTGGCTAAACCAAGATTTAAATTTATTTGCAAGGTTTCCTTATGGAACAGCTTAAGGTCAAAAATAGAGTGATGCAGGGGGAATGCATTGGCATGCCTCCTGTTTAATGTTACACTCAAAAAAGGTATTAGAGATTCTAGGATTAATACTAGAGGAAATATTTTTAAAAAGACTGTTCATTTGCTGGCTTATGCAGATGATATTTGCAGTGTTGTCCATATTGTTTCTTCTCTTAAACAAGCATTCAATGTATTGGTAAAAAGATTTAACCTTTCTGGTTAATGAAAGTAAAACCAAATATATGCCTTGTTTAAAATATGAGCTACCATTTAGTTATTTAGAAATTAGTAGCCATAGATTTGAAAAAGTCTGGAAGTGGAGATGAATTGTAAAAATGATATAACTTCTGAAATACTTAAAAGAATCTCTGCTGCAAATAGATGTTTTCATGGCCTGAAGAACTATTTAAAATTCAGTTTTCTCAAATTAAAAACTAAATTACTTCTTTATAAGAGTCTTATAAGATCTGTTCTAACTTACATTTTGGAAGCCTGGGAGCTGACTTTACATGATAGCTTTTAGGGATTTTTTAGAGAAAGATAGTTTGTTGCATACTTGGTGGGTTCCATGTGAGTGTATTGTATGGAAGTTTTAATTTAAATCTTTACAAATGTATTGGCAATCTGATGTAGTAAAATTCTTCAAACTACAGAGACTAAAATGGGCTGGTCATATGTCCAGAACGCATGAAGATCAGTGTTGTAAAAAACATTTTCTGGCAAAGCCCATGGGAACCAGACCTTGGGGTAGACTGTGGCCAGCTGAATCAGTTGTTGAAAATGACTGAACATTCTAAAGGACGAAAATTGGAAAACAGCTGTGAAAAATAGAGATGCCTGGAGAAGGCCAGGCCACACCCTGGGCTTTCAAGCCAATGAAGAAAAAGTAGCCTTATTTCCACTAGTACACAGTCCGTATATATTGTAGAACTGAGAGAAAACCTCAGCATCAGTTTCAGAGATGGATGTTCACACAATTGAGGTAGGTCTGGAATTGCATAAGTTTGGAGATCTTCCACCAGATGGTCTGGATTTACTTCGACCAGATGATCCTGTATTGAATAATGGTACAGTCTTGAGAAATTTGGTTGTTATTTTTGTGAACTTTTATCTTGGATACGAAGTTTGAAAGTAATGGTAAAGCGTATAAGTATTTTCAAATTAATGAGCCTGTGATATACATTATGAATCTCTAATTGTTTAGAATCTTATTTAAAGTAACTTTTAAAATTTCTCTGCATTTCCTCTTCCCTTAAATATTTGTGAATTATATGTAACTAAAGCTAAAGTATGTTGTTAATGTGAAACAAAAAATTTAATTACAATACTAGTAGTTTATAAATGATAGGACCGAGCAACAGAAGACTCATAATTATTCCATAGTGTTTATAATGTTTTCCAATATATGCAGCTAATTGTTATTTGATACTCCATATTTCAAACAATAGCCTCATTTTGAGGTATAATGAAAAGTATAAAATAAAATTTTAGTGTCAGTTTCTTATACCTGAGGACTGTGGCAAAATTTTTAAGTGAAAAGGAGAGAGAAAATTTTATCATGAATTTCTTCAGCCTGATAGCAGGATTTTTTATTAAAAGTTCCATTTATGTTTTGAAATGTCCCATGTGGGTAGGTATATTTTATGTACTACATATTACTTTTAATGTGCAATCCTTTCTATAAGAAAAGTTATAAATGTAAGCCCTTTTTTTAAGTTCATATTTGTGCATAATAAATTCTCTGTTTTTTTCAGTATGTTCTGTGTGATATAAGATGCCCAACACATATATGTATATTCACATAAAAGCTAAATGAAAACACACACACATGCACATATTGCGTTAAATAATATACCTTAAATTCCTGTTACAATTCTAAAAAAAATTAGTAAATTCCCATAGGGAAAATTAAAATAAATTATTAGATAGTAGCTCACATCATTTGAAACACAGACCAGAGGAATTTGCAGACAAAAAGTGGGAAAAAATCTCGTAATTGTTAGGAATCTGAATTCTCAACCCTTCGTAGATCATAAAGGCCTAGACTGCCTTACATTCAAAGACCATAACCGCCCCAAACAGACGAAATTCTGATGTTTTCTTCCCTCCCCTAAGGTATGCAGTAGCAGGTGCAGTTTCCCCAAATGCATCGTATCAGTTTATTGCAGACAACTTGTCCTAAAAGGATTATTTGTGGTTTCTTATCTTTATTTGTTAGAAGTAGAAAGGATGTCATTGTGCGTTAATTGATGGGGAGGGGAAGAAATTGCTGTGACTGTTGAAAACCATTTTGGGCGGTTCGGCATTTTAACTGGCAGGTTAGCGAAGGCTTCGGTTTTCAAAGAGGTAATCGTCGTACTAGCTTTACCTACTCACACATATGCTTAGTATGTTAAAATTTAGTTGATATAAATGACTAATTAAATGA